GGGCTGACAAGATCCGCGTGCCTCAACAGGCTGCAAGTGTGTGAGTGAGTGACCATAAGCCGAACCTGGGAGCAGTGTGTGTGACACCTCCAAACTGGTGTGGGACCATACATGTGTATTGTCTGGGTGCCATCATTTTTAGTCGACCTAGCTGCCTCAGTCCTACCAAGATCTTTAAAGGAAGGGACCTGGAATCTGCCCATCCTATCCAATGTGGTAGAACAGGCAGATACCCTCAGGGAGAAGCAGTCCTACAACTAACTTGGTGCCATATCATGCAGGTCTTTAAAGATGATAACCAGCACCTGGAATTGTAACCAGAAAGAAAGTAGGAGCTGGTGCAGCTCATGAAGCAGTGGTGTAATATGGGCAAACTGAAAGGTACACAAAGCTGCATGTGACACTGAATTCTGGACCAGATGTAATTTCCAGATGGTCTTCCAGGGTAGTCCCATGGAGAATGTCTTGCCATAATCCTACTAGGAAGGGTGTAAGTCATGAGTGCCTGTGAACAAGGCCTTCTGGTGCAGGAATGGGCACAATTGGTGCACAAGATGAATCTGTGCAAAGGTTCCTCTAGCCACAAGTGCCACGTGCTCCTCAAGCAGGAGCTACAAGTCCAGGAAGGCTTCCAAATTGCACATTGGATATACTATGTCCACAGCATTCTCCCCATCAAGTAAGCTAGTAGATAAAGAAAAAGTAGGTAAAAGTAGATGAGGAAAAGTAGATAAAATTAATTTATCATGACTTAGCTGTAACAAACCCTTCAAGGGGCAAACTGATCATTTGAAAGTAATGTGATATTTCCTTTACACACAAAGAGAAATATACTTAGAGTTATGTTTTGATTATTGTGAGTTTTTATTTCCTGTTCTGATACTGTGTATCTCTTGCTTCTTCATAAAGGAATAGATATGACACAACTGTTTTGATTTTGTAAATGTCATTAGTTCTTACAATAAGATAAATTCCATTTTTTTGTCCATTTGCAGAAGATCATTCATGAAAAAAGTCCAAGTATATGAACAGGAACATGTTTAATAAGGGAATCATTTGAAATTTCTCATATTCCATGTGTCTATTTTGAAAATGGGAAAGAAACACGATGTGGTATTTGATCTTCATTGACTATATCAAGAATTGACAGCAGTTCAGTGCACGGGAATAATAAATTGTGAGATCTGGCTGGCTAGAAAGACAAGAAACAGTGGAAATACAAATGCAAACATACACACACCTGATAGAAGGAAACAATCAGAAGATCTGATGCATAAGAAACGAAAGGAATAAACCACAAAACATAAATCAAAATGAGTTGTCCAATTCAAGCTGGTCTGCCCAATATTGCAACATTAAATCCTCAAGGTGAAAATTATGACTACAGTTATGACTACAATAACACTGACTTTGAACATCAGGCAATAATTATTTATTATTGGACTCTGGAAGATGCCATCTATATCCTAAGCATCATTATAAGCATTTTTGGAATAGTGGGAAATGGAATTGTCCTTTGGCTCCTGGGCTTCAAAATTAAGAGGAATCCTTTCACGGTCTACATCCTCAATTTGGCTGCTGCTGACTTTGGTGTTCTTGTGGTCTTGGACCTCCAATGCATAAGTATTTTCTTCCCACTAATTACTTTAGAAAGTCATCTAATTATTCTTTTTAATCTCTTCATGTTTGCATATTGCACCAGTCAATTTCTTTTGACCACTGTCAGCATTGACAGATGTGTGGCTGTGCTGTTTCCAATCTGGCATCGGTGCCATCGGCCACCACGCTTCTCCACCATACTGTGTGCTTTCATATGGGTCGTTGCCTTCCTCCCCTTTGGAATTAAGATCTTTTTCTTTGTTACTAAAGGGATCAGCATTTCTCGTGAAGTTCTCTCTTTTTTCATAAATACTCTGTTTTGCCTGCCTCTCATGACCCTCTCTAGTCTGATCCTCTTCATCAAAATCTGCCTTAAACCAAAACAACAGAGGCGTAGAAAGCTCCTCACAGTAATTTTACTAGCACTTTTCTGCTTCCTTATATTGGCCTTTCCATTGACTCTTGCAGAACTGATGAACTTTTTTGGATACTTGACACCTTTGTATTGTTTTACCGTTTTGTTTGCCTGCATAAGCAGTAGCATAAACCCGATGATCTATTTTCTGGTAGAGAGCAGGAAGAAAGGTCAATCTAGGCAGGGCCTGAAGGTCATCTTCCAGAAAATTTTCAAGGAGGATGAAGAGAATAGGAAGGAATCAGAAACCCAGGCCCCAATCCAGATGCATGCCCAGTTATGTTTTGAAAGAAAGGGAACTTAAAATTAAAGAAACAAATAATTAAACTAGAACTTATCTCTGAACAGTCCTTCCTACTAAAGGAAGAATGGAGAGCTACTTCAAGTGGTCTTTTAGCACAAGATGTAAAAGAAGAGAATCAGTGAAGGGTTTTTAACAGCTTTATGTTAAAGTATACTGAACTTTTTCTCAAGTGTTTTTCACTCTATCCATAAATCACTGTTAAAAATTGAAGTAGTTATAATATGCATTTGACTTTTTTTCCCTCTTACTCTTGTCACAGAAATCTGTTGAATTATCATTCAATGGTTTAAACTACATCCTAGCTTTAAAAGCCATCATACTGTACCTCTGCTCTACAAAAAGTTGTAGATCTGGTGGATGACTATCAATCCATGGCTGGTGTCTTAGTAAGTATCAAAAAAATTCAATAGGGCCCTGGACCATTGATAGACAATCAAGAGAAAACTGCTAAAACCAGATAAGCTCATGCATGTATGATCTTGTACGACATAATTGCTCTCTCAGAAGACAACACAGTAGTGTCCTACAGCCCAATTAAATTTAAAATAAAGTTTTAAAATGATCATGTATCTGAGAACAGTCTTTGCTGAGTTGTGGAGTAAGAGAGAACTACTTAAAATGGTTCTTAGCAAAGGAAGGAATAGAAGAGAATCTGAAGACCACCAAAGTTTACATAGTGAAGTTTCCTCCATCATATTATGTATAAGTTATAAAAAGTTCTTCAGGTCTATGACTTTGACAAGCTGATTTTAAAAAGAAATCTTTGGAATATACTGCATGGACTTTGGTGAACTACAGTACTTGTCCAATTCCTCTTCTTCAGTTCAGCCCAATACCTACCATTCTAGCATTTCATTCCAATTAGTTTGTGCTACCAGGATCAGGATCAATACTACACTCCAGTTATCTAATTTAGAGTCTTCTGATCTGCAATATCATTAAGAATGTAAAAACAATGTATTTATGCAGATATAACAGGGAAAAAAGTCATATCACGTCAGTGTTTTCATTTTTTCGAGATGATATTAGCCCTAACTCCAACCAAGAATGGGTTGGGCATGGAAGGAAGGGCTTTCCCCTCCCAGAAATGTGTCTGGCTGGTTTGGGGTATGGCATCAGCTGAGACTCTTGTCATGTCCCATCTGGCTGGTTAGGGCCTCCTGGGGGATAACCGTTCTTAGATTGGGAGGCACCACACATGGTCACTCACACCTTAGTCACCTCCCAATTAGACTATAGCACGGACTTGCAATAGTGACTTTTATCATTCTAAATCTTTGTTCTTGCTACATGCTTTCCGAGCTTTGGTTAAGACTAACTTTTATGGGCATTTCAAGTCGTTATTTCTAATTTGGGGGTGGTGGTGGTATAATATTTACTAAAAGCTTAAAAGAGAAAGTAAAACATAACAAAAGGTAATACAAAATAAAGAATAAAGAAAAGGAAGGAAGGAAAAGAAGCAGAAAAAGAAAAAGACAGAAGAGCAGGAAAAAAAGATAAAAAGAATTAGAAAGAAGAAGCTTCTGATATCCTTTGTAGGAAATACGAGTACAAAGTTATCTCTTACTCTATGGTTACAAAAAAGTTTATTTTTTTCTATTATCAGATTTTTTTTTTCCTAATCATCAAAACCAAAGGTTATAAGTGCATTTGCATGCAAAAAGTCTATAAGGAGTTTCCAGTCAGCAATAAATGCAGACGTGCTCTTTTCGTTAATCAAAAAATAAAATAAAATAAAATAAAATAGCCATCTCTGAAAATTCCATCAACTTCACCAGTCGTTCCTCTGTTGGGTCAGGTATCTGTTTCTAAAAGGCCATGGCCTCACCTGGTGATGTGCCAGGATGATGAGACCTTAGTAGACCTTCCTTTCCATCCATCACACTCTTCCCGGTTATTATTCTGTATGGCAGCCTTTGAGACAGAGTTTCTAATTATGTCTAGCAGTGGGCTGTGAGCTTCATGATGAATCATTTTCTGTGAATAATACCTGGAAAGTCCCTGGTTGCACCTCTACGTAGACCAAGACCAGCAAGGTCCTGCACATGCCTGCTCTGAAGATCATCTCCCAATTGCTGTCAGGAGCTCCAGATGACACATTGAGATATACAGTTGCTTTTTTTAGTCAAGTGTCCATCCATGTACACATTCAATAGAACACAAACTGCTTGGAGCTAATAAAGGAGTAGAGTGCAATAATTTGGATCTGTGTGTATTCCTGTGCACTACACTCAAGTCAGTCAGGTTTGTCTACAGGCAGATTTCACTCTTGGGCACATTAGGACAGAGGACCTGGGCTGCTGAAAATAGAGCTGAACTACATCTTCATCAGCATGGCTAGCAATATTGAGAATACCGGGAGAGCCACGAGTTCCCCATTCCAGCTCCAAATGAATCAAAGGGCTGTTTTACTTCAGCATTATTTTTACAAGCAGATGCCTCTAAGATGCTCAGAAGGAAGACCTATAGGCCCCTCCCCTACTCATGTTTGGAGGGGCAATGCTCACAAAACACAGGTAGCATTGATCCTTCATCAGTGATAGCCCTTAGTTGACCTGTCCTCTATACATTTATCAACCCCACTTCTAAAATTATCTATGTTCGTGGCCATCAGGATACTTTGTGGTGACAAATTCCAAACGTTAAATAGATGCGTTATGTGAGAAGTATCGTTTGTCTGTCCTAAATCCAACCAGCTTCATTGGATGATTACCAGTATTAATGTGTGTGAGAGAGAGAAACGTCTCACTCTTCACTTTCCCCGTGATTTCACATACACATCAAGTGCCCCTCTACAAATGTTTTCCCTTAAGCTAAAGGGTCTTTGATTTTAAGACTAGCCAATCCTGTTTTACCCATCCTGGTTGGGAACTATGCCGGTTCAAAATTAAAGTATACGCAAACTAACTTTGGGATCAACCTAGGAAAGCTACTGGTCAAGAATGTTCTGCCCTTATTTTCCATCCTTATTTCCATTCCTCAAACCTTATACTCAAAAGAGATCGTAATATTCCTCACTTCCATTTTTTATCTCTATCTTATGCACTCATAAACAAACACATGCAAGAGTACTACAATCTGCTCTGAGGGGGGCTGCCTTTGAAGACCATCCAGAAATGTCAACTGGTCCAAAAAGCAGCAGTGTGTGCATGTTGGGGTACATTACGTTTTTCCCCTGTTCTCCTGCTGCTGTGTGAGCTGCACTGGTTCTTTCTGGGTGCAGTTCAAGGTGCTGTTATCACTAAAGCCCTGTATGGCATGGGACCAGCTTGTTTGAGGTATCGTCTCTTCCTGAAGACATCTATCCATCCCGTAATTGGATAAGATGGTCTCGTTCCAGTCCCCTGTATTAAGGGTCATCATCAGGTGGGACCTAGGAAGTAAGCCTTTCCTGGAGCTGGAGCTGGAGCTATGCACCAGCTGCCCCCCTTGAAATTTGGAGGGCTGCTCTCCTTCTTGTCTTCCAGAAGGCCATTAAGACCTTGATCTTCTATGATGTGAAGCAAGCTCAGCTTTTGTATTTTTGAGAGAAGACTGTTATGGTGGTATGTAAGAAACTTTTTTTAAACTTCCGTATATTGTTTGTGTTTCCAATTGTTAGTTCCCAGCACTATTTTATATAACGTGGGTGGCCGTACACAGTTTTCAAATAAATCCATGGATGCTTCCATCTAACCATCAGGACCTGAGTTTCATGCACAACAGACGTTGCCTTTTTGTGAGCATCCCAAAAGTTAAAGAAAGATGCTGGTTTTGACCCCTAGAAGGGAGATGTATCAAGATGAAAGATGAAATGATTTTATCTGCAAAATCTCACTTTACCTCCATTTGCTTCTTTATCTTTATTAAAGCATGACACACACTCAATATCTGATATTGTAGACAGAAAGGCAACAGGTTCCGGGCATTTAGTGCTGTAAGCATTTTCAGACTGTGGTCACTCATATATTTGGAGTTCCACTAGAGAGGGAGACGTTCAAGTATCAGTAATTTCTTCTGGTCTTGCTCCAAAGGGTGTAGGCTCAAGAGCCTGCACAGAAGGTGAATTAATTTCTCATATCCAAGTGTAGAAGATATAGCAAATTCATCTTTGCTTCTTTCCTGAAAGGATCAATTGACACAGAGGTATGTGACCAGCACCCTTAATATCCAGTAGAAGAGAATATCTGTGGCTCAAGGCTGAACTGTGGAGTCCTTGGTGCTCTCTGAGCTTGGTTATTTGCTTGCTGACATTTCATTACCCAACTAAGTAACATCATCAGTGCTGATGACATTACCTAGTTGGGCAATGAAACATTTGCAAGCAAACAACTAAGCTCAGACAGCACCGAGGACTCTACCCTTAATATCTTCAGAAGTGGGTGAGGTGTCGTTTTTCATGCTAAGGGGAAGACATCTTACAGTACCTCCACGTGTATTGTGATTTGAAAAGCTAAGAAGGATCACACCTACTTAGTAGGTGGAAAGGGCACCAACAATTCCCCAAGAACACTCCTCCTTTCAACAGTTTCCACAATCAGAAGATCAATCAAGCTTTCTTTCATATATATATCTATGTTTTCCTTTAATTTACAGAGTCTTTTTTGCAGAATGGAGGGACAATTCAATCTTTCATCAGGTAGGAACAGCATCTTAGCTATTATATTATATTCCTGTCTTTGGGGACTACTTGTGATAAAGAACGTCTCAGGTGTTTCAAAATACTTAATGAGCTTAATTCAATATCCAGATTCCAGCACCAGAAGATGGACCCTGACATTTTTTGTGAGGGGATGGGAGGGTGATGGCTGCATTGGCATTTTGAGAACATACAGTGGTACAGTCCCAAAATGGCTACTGAGCGAGTTGCTCACTTATGAAGTAACTCTCTTGGGGAATGTGAGGGGTAGGGAGGGCTCGGAGGACCACCTACAGGGCTGTGCAGAGGAATTTGCTAAACACCTGATGGATAAAATCACTCAGATCCTTTCTCAGCTGGAGGCCAAGCATGAGGTAGTTCCAGTGGAGATGCCCAGAGAGCGGACTTACCCAGTTATCTGGGAATGGTTTGATCCTGTTGGATATGAGGAAGTGGACAGGACCCTCAGGGCTGTTATGCAGCTATCTGTATTTTATATCCTTGTCCTTCCTGGTTGGTTAAAACCACCAGGGAGGTGACATTGGGGTGGGTACTGGCGGTGATCAATTCATCTTTGAAGGAGAGGTGTTCCCGTAGTCTTTTAAGGACTACCCTGGTCTGCCCCCTCCTCAAGAAACCATTGCTAGATCCCACCCTTCTGGACAATTTTCATCCAGTTTCCTACCTTCCCATTTTAGGAAAGATGGCGGAAATGGTGGTCGCATGACAGCTTCAGATGATCCTGGAGGAAACGGTTTATCTGGACCCTTACCAGTCAGGTTTTAGGCCTGGTTATGGGACAGAAACAGCTTTGGCCGCACTTTTAGATGATCTCTGGCGAGAGCAGGATGAAGGTAGCCCATCCATCCTTGCTCTTCTTGACCTCTTGGCGGCTTTCGATACCATCGACCATGGTATTCTTTTGGGTCGGCTGCAGGAGTTGAGGTTGGGTAGCAGAGTTCTGTGCTGGTTCAGCTCCTTTCTCCAAGGCCGATCCCAATCGGTGTTGATAGGGAGCGAGAGGTCCAATCCGTGGCCCCTACTTTGTGGGGTGCCTCAGGGTTTGGTGCTCTCGCCATTCCTATTTAACATCTAGATGAAACCGTAGGGTGAGATCATCCAGCACCATGGGATGAGGTATCATCAGTATGCTGATGATACTCAACTATATATCTCCATCCCAGGTGACCTAAGCGATGCTGAGTCTACCCTTTCATGGTGCCTGGAGGCTGTAGGGACCTGGATGGGGGACCAAAGGCTTCAACTGAACCCTGGTAAGGTGGTATGGGGAGCCTCAAGATCTAGGAGTTTATCATGTTTGGTTCTTGATGGGTTTGCACTAGCCCAGGCAGATTGGCGAGTACTGTGGGGGTCCTCCTAGACTCACGACTCCTGTTCAAAGAGCAGGTGGCAGTTGTGGCTAGGAGGGCCTTTGGGCAACTTCATGTAGTGTATCAGTTATGCCTCTTCCTGGATCAGTAGGCTCTCCGCATGGTCACTCATCCCTGGTCACCTCCCAGCTGGATTACTGCAATGCGCTCTACATTGGACTACTCTTGAAGAGTACCTGGAAGTGACAGCTGGCACAAAATGCAGTGGTGCGGACAGTTTTGAATGCTCCCAGGAGGGTTCATCTGTTACGTGAGCTGCACTGGTTGCTGGTTTGCTTCCAGGTCCCATTCAAGGTGTTGGTTTTTACCTTTAAAGCCCTTCATGGTACAGAACCAGGTTATCTGAGGAGCTGTCTCACCCCCGTTATATCAGCCTGCCCCACTTGGTCTGGCAGAAGGGGCATGTTGCAGACCCCACCAGTCAAGGAATTTCAACTGGCGGGGTCTAGGAAGAGGGCCTTTTCTGCCATGGCCCCTGCTCTGTGGAACAACTTACCACCTGAGGTGCAGTGTGCCCCCACTCTCATGGCGTTCCAGAAGAGTGTGAAATCTTGGCTATGCCATATGGCCTGGGGGACTGATGGGCGTGGCTCACATCGTTGGACGTGGCTCATGGGTAATTGATTCTGGCCCCCATCGTCTTGCATTTTACAGGTTTTTTAATGTACTGTATACTGTATAGGTTTTTATATAGTATGATTTTTTTAGCTAATTTAATGTGGATATTTATATTTTTTTTACTGTTTTTCATGTTTGATTTTAATTGTGAGACACCCAGAGTCACCCTCTTTGGGAGATGGGTGGCATATAAATTTAATAGATAGATAGATAGATAGATAGATAGATAGATAGATAGATAGATAGCATTTTGAGAACATAGAGTGGTACAGTTACAAAATGGCTGCTGAGGGAATTGCTCACTTATCAAGTAAGTCTCTTGGGCAATGTAAGAGTACCAAAAAGGTGCACCAGAGAGATCCCTGCCTCTTCATTCAGGCAACATCTTCCAGCCTTGTCCTTTTGAGAGACAGATGGGATAAAGTCAAGCACTATTTTCTTAGAGGACTTTAAGAAAAATGAGGCCCGGAAGCATTTTGGGAAAAAAGATGAAGCAAAGCTTCAATTGATAGCTTCCCTTTAAAAATTATGTCTTTGGTTTTTGTTTTTGTTTTAATCAAATATCAGCTGGGGCAGAAACCCTAAAGGGCGCCTCAAGGAGTGATGATTGTCTAATTGGGATCTGGGGCAACCAGTAAAAAATATTAGTGATTCTTGCCATGCAAACCTTATTTCATATAAATATAAATGAAGCACCCACACAAATATATACACAGAGAAACACACACACACAAATGGACATGGAAATATGGAAGAGGTTTCTAAAACACACTGGCATTTTTTCTGCCAAGGGTTATTGATTTAATCATAATCTTGTTGTTACTACTTCCTTAGGTAATGAAACAACCATTGACAGAGTTCGCCAAGAAATCTGGGTATTTTACCAGCAGCCGTAAGTATACTATATTACAAATCTTTGAATTAGAGGATTGAAGGCAACTTCCACGTAGTTCCAAAGATTTGGAAGAGAAACTTTGTCCCCTACTCTGCACATCTCTGCAACCTGCATTCTAAAGGATGGAGGTTGCCCAACTCATATGCCCGTAAACGGCTGTGAATGAGTGTCTGGGACCACTGAAAAGTTTTGGATTTAGTGCAGGAAATGAGACATATCATCCCCCTTTGGGACATTACGCAGCCACCTCCACTGGCCGCGTGCGTCAAGTTGACAGAGTCCTCATACCCAAAGACATTGATCTCCTGGAGGAAAGAGAGGAAGGATAGAATAAGGGTTGTATGGATACAATTGTTATGATTGTACTGCACCTGGAAATGCATATTCTGTGAGCTTAGCCTCAGTGTTTCTGTGGGTGTGTGGGTGTACATACTGCCACTGTGCAACACTTCAGATTTGATTTGCAAACATTGTTTTGGAGTATGAGGAACGTCTTACTTCCTACTTAGTAACAACTCAGCAAAGCAGCTCCATCCTTCCCCTGCCACATACTCTCAACATAAGGAACATTTGCTTTCAAGGGTTGCAGATGATGCGACATGTGCCATTTGGTGTGCTCCAGAGGACCCTTTTGGAATCAAATCCAAAGTGTTGCACTGCTGAAGGGTTTTCAAGTACCTTAGAAGAAGAGCTAGAAAGAGAAGAAGGAAAAGAGGAAAGGGAAGAAGAGAAACTGAGCAGACGGTGGAGAAGATGGGAGTCATAGGCTTCATTAGAAACCATGATAATGAAAAGGGGCCAAAACATGCATTAC